TTTATTTATTCTATATTAGAGTGATAAATTTAATATAATAAAAATGAATATTAGATTTTATCAATCTTGATTCTAACTATTACATGACAAATTGCTTGTCCTCACATTATATTTGATTAATAATAAAATAATAAAATAATTTATTTTAGTAAAATATAAATGGGGAGTTGAGAGAATAGAGAGATGTTTGAAGATAAGATAATTTTATCTATTTTAAAAATTTAAAATAAAAAATAAATAAAGTAAAATAACGTCAAGGACATGTCACATGTGTTGTCATTAGATGTTACTTGCGATTTTATTTTTTTAGAAAGTTGACATAAAGAAGAGATGTTTGAAGGTAAGGTAATTTTATTTATTTTTAAAAATTAAAAAAATAAATAGAGCAAAACAAAATTAGAGACACATGTCTTCATTAGATGCTACTTGCGGTTATAAAGTTGAGATAATGGGGAGATATTTAAGGGTAAAATAGTTTTATCTATTTTTAAAAATTTAAAAATAAATTCAATAAAATACAATTAGGGACATGTGTCGTCATAAAATATTGCTTGTAGTTCTACTTTTATATATATAAAAATTAAAAATTAAAAATAAAAAAATAGAGCAAAACAAAATTAGAGACACTTGTCTTTGTTAGATGCTACTTGCAGTTATAAAGTTGATATAATGAGGAGATATTTGAGGATAAAATAGTTTTATCTATTTTTAAAAATTTAAAAATAAATTCAACAAAATACAATTAAAACACGTGTCATTATAAGATATTGTTTGTGATTCTACTTTTTATATATATATATATATATATATATATATAGATAGATTGGCACAATTGATTGTTGAAGATTATCATTCTTCAGGTCACTTTAACTACCAATAATACTTTTAAATAGTGGTGGACCAGAATTTCAACAGCGCGCGAAGACCCATCCATTAATGTATATTATTAATTTCCAATGCTTCTAAAAAGTGCGCGAGGACCCTCTTATATTTGAAAGGAATGATAGGGGTCGAGAATGTGAAATCTCCCACCATTACTGTTCATGAGAGTTTATGCTTATCCCTATTTCAGTCGGCCCTGTTTTATCTCAATCAACTTAAGATGGCGCCCTATCGTGGCTCAAGACCAAAAAAAAAAAAGAACAGGACCTTACAAAACGAGACCAAAGTATAATTGAAATGACACATGTGATCATTATGGGGATGACATCCCATCCCATCCCAAATATATTATTGTATTTCTTGTTTCCTTTTATTAATTTTGATATATTATTTATTCAATTAGATTTAAAGTATGTATATGTTTTGTTTTCTTTTTATATGACCATTTGCTCACTTAAGTTATATAACTTAAATTTTATTGTTGGTATAACACTTGTAGTTTGGAAGTCAGTTGTGTTTGTTGTTATTTGACTTTAAATTGTAATTGTTATGATTATATTCTTTCACTTTAAATTGTAATTACCATAACTCAGTTATTAAGTTTATGTGTTGTATTGTTTTGATTTTAAACTTAATAAATTATAAAATTTAATAAATGTTGTTATAATCCATAACTCTCTTCCACGTTTGTTAGCTTTATTGAAATGTCCATATCTGGTCTCATTTCGTCTTGATTCCAAATAACTTTTTGGATAGGACATCAACAAAAATTCAATCTAATTTACCTTTTTGGCATAAGAATAAGGTTGTCCTAATCTTATCCCATGAACACTTTTATTATTCATTTTAAAGGTCTAGATTTAAAATTAGTATTTTTATCAACTTTTTTAAAACGTTTTAAGTTAAAATATATATTATTTATTAAAAGTATTTACAAATGACTTATCGATCACATCTTTGCTTCTTCTTCTTCTTCTTTTTTTGGCCAACACAACGACATCTTTTCCAAACTAATTACCGTTCCCTGCCTAAATGACAATCATTTTATTTACGTCAAAGCAAAATATAAAGATTAAAAAGCAGAAAAGTTGTTATTATTTTTACCGTCACAGTAAGATAAGCATTATATATACTAAAAAAGTCTATAAACTTTAAAAAGCAGTGGTCGAATTATATTTTGCGTTGCGCTTCGTTTTTTATTTATAAGCTCAAATTTCAGAAGTTTTCTTTTATAAAAGCACAAGTACTTTAATTACTAACATTTATAGAGGAAAGGAGAGAAAGCTCTGGGATAATACAAATACAAAGAAAGAGTGGAGAAGAATGGAATGAATTTTATTCAATTACTAGTTTAGTTCCAAAATTTTGAATCATAACAATTCAATTCTTAATGTTTATTGAGCTGACAAACTATATAAATTAAGTTATTCTGAATTTAGAAATTATAAAAATTAAGTTGTTTTAAGTAAATATTCATGAACTAATTCGAAAATTGAAAAAAACTTAGGAGGAAATGTTACATTTTTAATTAAAAAACAAAATGTGAGACTGGATGGACATCCCTAATTATTAAATAATAATTCATACATTCATTTAAAGACTGTGTATCCTTTTTTTTCCTGCAAAAAAAAGTCTGTACATCCTTGAGAACATGTATAAAAGTCTGATAGCCTTTTTAACCCAAAAAAAACATAGGTACTTCTTTTATTAAAAAATATAAGACATTTTCAATTAAATTTCATCTTCAATTAATTAGATAATTAATTTCAAACTATCACTTTTTTTATATTTACCCTTATTCAGTAATGTTTCATTTAAAATAAAATATAAAATAATTTATTCATTAAGGGTGTTTTTTTAAAAAATTAATTATATTTTAAAATATAAAAAATATTTTTTATTGTTTAATTTTTTAAAAAATATATTATATTTTTGAACAAATACTAACAAGGTTGTTTTGGGTTATATCATGTTGGGCCAAGTGTTGGGTTTCTTTATATAAAATGTCCAGTTTCAACAGTCTAAGCATCAAGCCCACATACCTCATCATTGGCCACATGATGATCTCCTGCACATCTTATATTTTTCCTCTGTTTATTTTATTTATGAAACTGCCACTACTTGACCGGTGGACGTAAATCTGTAGACGTGAATGACATAATTAGTACTAGTGCTATTCAATTTCATATACCTAAGATCAAGTTATCCAATTCAGTCTTACATGTATATTTTTTTTAACAAGCAGTTATCTTCAACTTATAGTGACATCTCATTATTTAATTTAAAATTTTTAAAATATTTATAATTAGTGACAAAATTCGAGCCTTTTGCTTTATTTTTTTCGGAGGAATGCAAATGATAATTGATTCCTTATGAGTTTCTTTAATGCTCGCCAGCCACGGTCTACCTCACACTATCATGCTTGTTTGGTCTATTTTATAAAATTAATCTGCATACCCCTAAGCATGAGAGATGAGACGAAAGCTTCACCAGGTCACTTCTCTTTATAAGTTAATTCATATTTGCCTTCTTAAAAATAAAAGCTTAACCAGGTCCAATCAAATACCCAGTATACTTAATTTATTTAAGTTGTTGGGATGTGTTAATTTTGAAGTTATCTAATTATTAAAAGAGGGTAGAATTAGATTGCAAAATTACTTTTATCCTTATTATTGAAGATTATGTTAATGTATTGGCCAAAAAAAATTATTTAAATGTGATGTGAGATTTTTTTAATATTTTTATCAATATAAGTCTGTTCAAATAACATTTTATAGAAAGTAAACAAAGAAATAAAGTAATGAAAAAGGAAAAAAAAAAAAGAACACACTCAATTTATCCTGGTTCGGACCAATATGCATGTCCTATATCCAGTCCCCAAGCACAAAGCAAGGGATTTTTTTTATTATAATGGGAAATCACCAAAAGATACAAAAGCAACTCCAAAAATAACCTTAACTTTCCTACTGTTAACTTATCTATTCATATGATAACCCATAACTATTAAAACGTACTAACATCTTCCAAGTATTCATGTGTGTCGTTCTGTTCTATTCTCTCTGGTTGGCTTGTCTCTTAAAAGATCTTCAATGAATAGCTTCAGCTTCTTCAACCCATGACTATATATTGGACAACTTAACTTCCTTCCTTTGAATATGCAAAATATGTTCATCAATGACAAATATGTCTCCAATGGTTTCCAATAACATAGAATCCAAGAACCATATACTGTGCTAATATCTCAATTTAATCAATTCAATAAAAAGCGTACTTCAAAGCCAATAGTTAAATTTTTCGTATAAATATTTGACTATATATTTGTAACAAACAAGAAAGTATTTGACAAATTTCATTTGAAAATTTATAAGGTTATGCTAGAGTTTTTTTTTGGAAGAATTATGATTACCTCAATTCTACCTTACGAATATAGTAAACACAACACGTAGTTAGAAGTCCATGGAATCAAAATTAGAACAGGAAACATAATTACAAGATAAATATATTGCAAGTTCCATATATAGTATACGCACATTTAACTTACCAAGTGCATTAGGTTTTTTGTTGTGCTTGCCATTTGAAGCCAACTCAGATGATAAGAGTCGGATGGGGTGTGAATAAAGAACTAAGATCCGAAATAAAAAAGAAAAAATCATTCCAACATGAAGCCACCTTTTGTCTCCAATTTGTGTTTCCAAGCATCAAACAAAGCTTAACCAATTCCATTAAATGCTAGCAAAAGTACATTACCTTCAAACCAAAGCATAAATTCCAATAAACCATTATTACTTGGATCACAAATTATTAACTATCAACGATGATCCAATGCCAAATCAAATTAAGAAGCAATATGACCTGCAACAAACACACAGTAGCACGTTAAACATTTTGAAAGTACAATTATTCGATTGTGTCTTTATTTTAGTTTATTTATAAGTTAGTCAAAACTCAAATGGCTAAAACATAGTTTCTTAAAAACAGAACTATTAATTCAAATTTCCCTCCGTCAATTCGTGTTGTGTTATTTAATAGTCATAAAGGTTATCACAAACAAAATTAAAGCTAAAATAAAAAAAAAATAGAGAGAGAGACAGAGAGAATAAAATGTTACCATCTACAGAGTATTTGCTAATGGCTAGCAAGGTATCTTGCCACATAAATGATCCCCATGACATGGATTCTACTTGCTGCATCATTCACAAGCCTATAGTAGGTCTGTCTCCAAGATTGATTAAAGAGCAATGGTCCCATGAAGGTCCAAAATCCAACAGCAAATCCAATTCCCATGCTTAAGTAAAATTGTTGAGAGAAAATTGAATCATCATCATCTTCAGAATGATCAAATATTTGAGGTGAAGGCACCTTATCTTCCAGGCACTTTTTGTCAAGTGGCATTCCACAAAGATCAAGATTTTCTCCATAACATGACGCGTTAAAGCCTTGCAACTGTGTTCCTATAGGGATTTTTCCAGAGAGATTATTATTTGACAAGTCCAAGACACCGAGACGATCAATATGAGCAAGGCTTGGAGGAATTGTGCCTGATAATTTATTTCTTGACAAATCTAGGAATTCTAGAGATTCAAGATTCCCAATCTCAATAGGGATTTTTCCACTCAATTTGTTTCTTGATAAATTCAATGAAACTAATCCCAATAAAGACACAACTTCTTTTGGTATTTCACCAATGAAAGAATTGCTAGATAGATCAAGGCTTTTCAGAAGGAGATCTGGCCTCTTAAATGACCTATCTTCACCCTTCCACATCAATGTAATGTAGAATTCAAAATAATAGAGGGAATATCCCCTGAATGTGTTATTGATCCTATACATATGGTAACTTGCTTCGGTTGAGTTGATGTGCTCTTGTGCTGCCATAATAGTAAAATTATGAAGACAAGATGGAATTTTATTGGACAAGTTATTATAAGATAAATCCAAGAGTCGAATGTGTTCCAAGTGACAAAGACTCAATGGCAAAGCACCATATAAGTTATTCATTCGTAAGCTTAAAATTTGCAATCCTCCTAGGCTTTCCCCTATCCATGAAGGTATTGGCCCGAATAGCTTATTCTTTGACACATCCAACAATAATAAATTGGTGGAGTTCATCAAAGAGGAAGGAAGTTCTCCAATCAAGATATTATTTTTCAAAATCAAAGCCTCCATATTCACTAGGTGACCTATGGAGGTTGGAATCTCTCCTGACAAATTATTATTGCTCAAATCAACAAACTTTAATGAGTTTAAGTGGTGCCAACAATTTGGTAGATGACCCTTTAATTGATTGTTAGATAAGTCCAAAACACTTAAGCCTTCACTATCAGTTTGGCCACATAATAGTGGAACCAAATTTGAGAATTTATTTTTGGAAAGTTCAAGTTTTGATGCTTGTATAAAAAATGATGGAACTGCACCTTCAAAGTTGTTTGAAGTCAAAATTATCATTGACCTATAATAAAACTTAAGCGGTAAATTTGGAATTTCACCAAAAAAATTGTTGTATGAGATGTTCAGGTGATCTACATTGTCCAATTTTGGCCAAAACCATTCTGGTATAAATCCCAAAAGACCACCATTAGAAATATCCAATCTAAGTAATTGATATTGATTTTGAAGCCAATCTGGAAAATCAGGACCTACCACACAAGAAGCCATGTCCAAGCTTCTTAATTGAAATGGAGGCGCCCAGCTACTGCTAATTTCCAGGGTCAATGAATTTCTAGACAATGACAAAGACATCAAATTGGAGAGATTTTTAAAATGAGATTCAACTATTTTTCCCTTCAGGTTGTTATCAGACAAATCCAAATATTGCAAGGAGGAGAAAACCGAAAGATTGGGTGACATGCTTGTTAATTGATTTCTTGATAACAACAATTGTTGTAATGAGTGTCCATTGCACCATGAAGCATTAGAAGTGAAATTTGAAAAACCCCCACTCAAGTTATTGTAGGAAAGTTCTAGGTACTCTAATGTACATATATTCCCTAATGATGTTGGGATTTCACCTCGGAGCTTATTATTGCTGAGATCAAGAACTTCAAGAGAGCTTATTATGTTTCCAAAACTATTTGGAATGGAACCTCTAAGCAAGTTATCATCAAGGTACAATACATGAAGATTGAAGGTGAAGTTGGAAAGCCAATAGAATATGGTTGATGATGTCAAATGATTGAAAGATAGATCAAGATGGAGAAGAAAAGTAAGATTGGGATTAATGAAAGATGTAAAAGCAAAATCATTTGATGAAAGGCTACAATTGGTTAAAGAAAGATCTTGAAGGTTAGGGCCAAAATTCAAAATCCTTAATGACATCAGATTATTATAAGAGAGATCAAGAACAAGGAGGGAAGGAAAATGAAAATGAAAAAATAAAAAGTGAATATCATTAGCTGAAAGACTACAGTTACTTAGATGAAGCTCTTGAAGGCTAGAGCTAAAATTGATTGGCAACTGAGATGATAATGAGTACAAGTTATTAGATGAGAGATCAAGAGAAAGGAGGGAAGAAAAATGAAATTGAGAAAATAGAAAGTTAAAAGCATTAGATGAAAGATTACAGTCATATAGATAAAGCTTTTGAAGGCTAGAGCTGAGATTGAAGTGCCAATGAAATAATGATGAGTTCAAGTTATTATAAGAGAGATCAAGAAAAAGGAGGGAAGGAAAGTGAAAATGAGAAAATAAAAAGTCAATATCATTAAATGAAAGATTGCACTTGTACAGATAAAGATCTTGAAGAGTGATGGTGGTGACATTGAATGGCCATTGAGATATTGAGTTCAAGTTGTTTGAAGAAAGATCAAGAAAAAGGAGGGAAGGAAAGTGAAAATGAGAAAATAAAAAATTAATATCATTAAATGAAAGATTACAGTTATATAGATAAAGATCTTGAACGGTGATGGTGGTGAAATCGAATGGCCATTGAGATATTGAGTTCAAGTTGTTTGAAGAGAGATCAAGAACAAGGAGAGAAGGAAAATGAAAATGAGAAAATAGAAAGTGAATATCATTGGGTGAAAGATTGCAATCACTTACATAAAGCTCTTGAAGACTGGAGCTGAAATTAAAGGGCCAATGAGATAATGATGAGTTCATGTTATGGGCATAAGAAATGCCACATCCTCTCAATTTCAATTTTCTTAGTTTTAGGAGTTTATCAATATTCTGCATCCAAAGATGAAGATAGTGAACATCACATACGTAACTGAACTCAAGATTTGTCAATGAAGAAAGCTTTAATAACCACTCTGTATTCAGATTATTCCCATCGGCTATTGCGGTGAGATCATCATAGGAACTGCCAAGCTTCAGAGTGTGCAACTTGGTGAGATTCCCAAGCTGAGAAGGAATTGCTCCAACAAGATAGTTTTGTTCAAGATTGAGATACTGCAACTTTGAAAGGTTTCCAATTTGCCAAGGGATAGCTCTATCCAAATTATTGTAGCTTAGATCAAGAGACAGTAAATGTGAAAGCTTTCCCAATTGATAGGGAATACTCCCAACAAAAGAAGAATAAGAGAGGTTGAGATACTTTAAGTTGGTGAATGACTCTATGGACTCAAGGATGTCACTTAGATAAAAATCATTGTAACTGAGATCCAAATGTTGAAGATCATGTAACTCAATCAATGAAGTAATATTGATTTTACCTTTCAAATAAACTGACGATGAATAAAAGCTACCATGAAGATCAAGGATTTGAACATGACCAGTTTCCTTGCTGCAATAAACTCCTTTCCAGTTGCAACAATCTTCATCTTCTTGGTTGGTCCATGTGGATAACAAACCAGAGTCACTGTGGATGCCCTGTTTGAAGAGGAGTAAAGCTTTCCTCTCCTTCTCTCTGCAGTGGTTCAGTACTCCTCTCCCAGTAGTAGCCAAACTGATTATTGATTGCAACAAAAACAGCAACATGATCAATAATGCACAGAGAAATTTCAACAAAGAGCCCATCACAAAGGTGGAATATCTTCGAGACAGGTTCAGACGAAGGAAAACAAGAAGAGAGAATTATAAGATAATTTTCTGGTAATTGTGATTTCTTTTTGGTTATTTTCTTCGGCTGATGAGATGTGAGGCATGAGAATTGGAGGGTTGGATTATATAGAGTTCATTGTGGGCCTCTGCTCGATGGATGACCTGTTAACTTTTGGAATTGGAGTACTTTATCATCCAAAGTACCAACATATCCTCCGGATGCGGTTCAGTGGGACGTCACATGATATTCCAACAGGACCACTGACCACACGATTTTTTTTTTTTTAAATAAAAGGGGAAAGACCACCGACCATACGTGATTGAGATTGAGATCTCACACAACATATTTTTTATTTTTATTAATTTGTGTGTATATATATTATCTCTATTATAATGCAAATCTAAATACCATACCAAAATCAAAAAAAAATTAGTTAAATTATTAACTTTATCTAAAAATAGAATAAATATTTAGTTTCACTCTTATTTAAACAAAAATTTTATATTTATATTATATTCTTTCTCATCATTGATGAGTTTAAATATGGATAGTATTAAAAAATATAATTAATATCACATCAAATATCTTCTCAAATTATAAGATAATTTTAAATATATTTTATTTTTTTAGTAAAAGGGAAAAGACCACCGACCACACATCTTTGGGATTGGGATCTCATACAACATATTTTTTTATATATTTATTATTTTTATCAATTTGTGCGTGTCTGTGTGTATTATCTCTATTATAATGCAAATCTAAATACCTTACTAAAAGCAAAGAGGAATTGGTTAAATCATTAACTTTATCTAAAAATAGAATAAATATTCAATTTCACTGTTATTTAAAAGAAAATTTTTAAATTTATATTATATTCTTTCTCATCATTAATGAGTTTAAATATGGATGATATTAAAAAAATTTAATTAATACTACATCAAATGTCTTCCCAAATTATAAGACAATCTTAAAGGTATTTTATTGTCCCATAATATAAAACAATTTGACAAAAATAAAATTTTATTAATGATATTGTTCGGTCTACTCTCAACTCTCCTAAATCAGACTCAGAACATCATCTAGAAGCCACTTTCTCACCAATATCCTATATTTTGGACTAAAACAAGAATATAAATGTCAGTAAAAACATAGTATAATTTATGAAGTGCTTTATATTTTGAACTAAGGAGTGCTTCTAGAAAACAACTTATATTATAGTCTAAAGGGATAAGTCATTTTTTCCAGCTAATATTAGTTTAAAATATAAACAACTTAATATTCATAAAGATATTTTTTGTCATTTTACCCACTGTACTTGTTAACTTGTATTTCTGTTTTTACCATAAATTTATAACATTCTTTTCACTCATAATAGAGGTGTTGGCAATTGATTTTAACATATATAAAAATATTTAAATATTTTTAAGAAAATCATAATTTAAATTTTATTATTGATTTTAGCATGTAAGATGGGTGTTTGAATTTTTTTTCATAAAATCATGATTTTTCCTAATTTTCCATTCTGCTTATCAAGTATACTTAACATCAATTATATCACCTATCCTGATCAATTATATTCAAAATCAATTATATTAATCAAATTTGTCTATAATTATTCTTATACAATATATATTCAAACGCATCCTAGTGTTACACACACCAATCTGGAACTGAAAAGAAAAATATATTAATTAGTAGTCTACGATCAATTTTATTTTGGATTAAATAATACTTGGGGGACAAACATGGATCGAAGTTAACAATATTGAGAAATTTAGTGTTGTCAAATAATATGCTCTTGTAAGATAATTTTTATTTCGTTTAGACATTATTTTCTAAACCGTACTTCATATAATATATAAATGTTTTCCAGAGGATGAATTTTTTTACATTGACCTAAAAATTAGAAGATCAAACTAACTTCACATTATGGTATTATAAAAATATATCAATTTTTAACTGTTGCACAATTTTTTTTTGTTTGTAAAAAACCATGTAACATGGCCCTTTCATCAGTTAAAGAAAATATAAAACTTCACCCGGCGAGGAAAAAAAAAAAATTTAACGACTTGTTAAAGAAAGGTTAACTAGTTATATCTAAATATCAATATTATTGAACAGCAAGAAGATTTTCTTACAAAGCCAACTATATTCTGAAACAAATGTGACGAATCAGTTCTTTTGTAGGCAATTTATATTTGTTAGAACATCCAAGTATGCTATATATTACATGTGAATATCCATAATTAAGTTAATTTATCTAGGACTTTATTGTCCGTATTCTAAGTATTGTAAATTAATATGTAGGAGTTAAAATTACTCTAGATCTACATATTAAAATAGGTGCATATAATTTTGCAAATTATGTTTTTGGTCTTCATGAAAATTATGAATTGGCCTAGTCTCCCTGCATAAAAAATTAAAGAAAAATATATTAATTGGCCCATGATTAACAATAGACCAAAATTCATACTCCTTTTGTTCAAAAATATAAGACATTTTTTGAGGAGTTTGATGTTAAAAAATGTAAGGTATTTTTAGTCTTTCAAGATGTAATCATTGCCTTTTTTTCAAAAGTACCCCTATTGATAGTGACTTTATATTTATCATAGGGTGTTTAATAGGGGTAAATATAAAAAGATAAGGTTAGTTTGAAAGTAAGTAACTACTTTATTAGAAGGTGAGATTCAGTTAAAAATACCTTACATTTTTGAACGAAGGGAGTAACTAACTATCATTTTCACCCAAGTAAAATATATTAATTAACCTATGATTGCAACACATTAAACTAAATATTTTAAATTAATTTTGAAATGTCAAATTATTTTAAATAAAATTATTATAATAAGTGCTTATTATTTTTCAAATTATGAGATGGCCTATCCTCAATGTATGCAAAGAAAAACATGCTTCTAATCTAATCATCGATACCGAAAACTAAATATTGAAAATTAATGTTTGAAATATCAAATTGTGTGTGTGTGTGTTAATTTCTAGCCCAATGATCAGACAAGCAATATATCAAATTTCATGGCTAATTATTTTTTTGATCCAAGTTTTCAATACAATTTTGCATGCGGGGACCATTCAACTGCTTGAATATTCAAATGGAAAAATTATTATTAAGTTTAAAATTGTAGAGAAAACCAATTAAGAAAAAACTTGATGGAGACATTATTTGAAATGTCAAATTAACCAACGAGCACATAGCTTAAAGAGTTGTTTTAGCTTAATTGATCTTGAATTTGAGTTTTGGATTTGTAATTGTGTTAAACACCGTTATTAGAATTGGACAGGACTGACTAGTTTGACCGGTTGAACTGGTCATAGATCTAGTCTGGTTACAACTAAAAATTGCTCATTCTATGAACTGGCTATGAATTAGTTGAACCGACTGTGAACCTGCCAAAATCGATAAAACCAACGAGAAATCATTTGAACAAGACATATTAGTTTTTATTTTTATTTTTAATTCATATTTCTAAAATATAATTTATATATATTTATACCTAAAAAGCATTATGAAATGAAAAAAAATGCAAGAAATATGTATGAATTATGTGTATAAGTATATATTTTAAAGTTATAAATTATAAATTTGAAAATAATTATATATATTTTGGATGAAAATAATGTAATATTGATGGATATTATCTTTTTATTGTATATTATTTTGTTTGAAATTTAAATATTCGTTTTTCTTAATATATATGATTATTTCTTTTTACTTTAAACATATAATATTTAAAATATATCAATTTATTTATGATTGGTTAGACCATAGTTTAGACCATGATCTAACTATTGAACTATAAACCAGTATCTCAAATAGTTCAATGGCTGGTCCGATGTTCATAACATTGATTTTAAATATTTATTGGGAGAGTTTTACCTCCAATATGTCCTACCTGGTTCAGCCCAAAAATAATGAATAATTGTATCTGAGAAAAAGAAATGTCAAATTATATTAAATAAACATATTAAACTAGGCTCATATTATTTTGCAAATATGTGGTTGCCTAGCCTCTATCATAGCAAGGAAAAATATATTAATTTTCCTATAATAAAAAATACACCAAACTTCAATATTAATTATTATTTTCATTCAAGTTTCAAACACAATTTTGGGAGCCACGACCTCAAAGACTTGAATATTTGATTGAAAAAAATTTAAAAAGCGTCTTGTCAATTTTAAAATTGTATATAAAAATAATTAATAAAATTACTTGATTGAGAAATTATTTTAAATAAACATTTTAAAGGAGGTGCATAGTATTTTGCAGGTCCATTATTACCAATTCTCCAATAAAATTTCTTTTTTTGATACACATTCTTCAATTAAATTTCAACGCTTGGTCCTTTTTGCTCACTTTATCATTTCCTTAAATATCGGAGAATATGATTATATTTATGATAAAATACAAGCATCAAGATTAATTTAAGAATTGGTTGCAACAAATATAAGCAAATGGACGTAATTATTTATTTTTATTTGACAAATCATGAGTTGACCTAACCTCCAAAAATAACAAAGAAGATATATACTTATTTTATGATGAATAATATGCCAAACTTAACTTCTAAATTCAAATTCACTCAAGTTTCCAACCCAATTTTATGAGCAAGAACCCATTTAAAGGCCTTGAATATTATTGGAAGAAATTTAAAAATGTATAATCAAGTTTAAAATTGTAGAGAAAAACAATAATTAATAAAAAATGTGATTGTGAAATTAGTCAAATTATTTAAAATAAACTTCTTAAAATAAGTTAATGCTATTTTTCAAATTATTAGTTGGCCTAGTCTCTATAATAGCAAGGAAAAATATATTAATTAATTAAGACTTTGATTAACATTATACCAAACTTCATGACTAACTATCATATTCATCCAAATTTCCACCACAAGTTTTGGGGCGAAGACCCATTCAAAGACT